TATATTGTAACCGCTATTCGACAAAGTTTCTATATTTGGAAATAACGCGCGCTTTGTCGTGCATTCATCGGGCTTCTTGCTTATATTGTGCAAAACAGATGTGTAACTCGATAGTATCCGAACCACACCATGACATTTATTTCGATGTACGGTGCATCGGAAACTATATATGTACTCATATAAACGAACCTTTATATGTCCGTATTATTTGTCGGTCGGATATTTCTGTGCGCACGACTTCAAAATTACCAGTATTAGATATACCTACTGTTACTAATCAAAAGACGTTGAACACTTGGGGAGCATAGCCCTTTCCTAATTGGATTACACGAATGCCTTACGTTTTCCACCCCGCTCTAGTGCTTTATATAAAGTTATATGTATCGTATAACTATTGTTGTACGATATAAGATAGACCGCAATCATATTGACCGGGCGCAATGAGTTTATTCGAATTATACATGGTATGCGGAAATGTAGTACATTCAAGCAATGAATATACCTTTTTTTTTTTGTAATTGCATTGCTGTAATATGTCCAACAAAGGTTAATTATATTTGTTTGTTCAATAAAATATATTTGGATATTTTTCTGTAGAATTGACAGTTTAATTGAAATTTTGGTCTATAAGTAGTTGATATTTATATTGATCCGACCTACAAACCGTCTGCACTCGTTCAGTCTTCAGTTCAAACTTGACTGAAGGTGTACGTACTCAGGTAAGTACGAAAATGATATTGATTACATACTACCAACATTGTCCATCAGTTAAGTGCGATTACTGTGATCGTTCGCGCCAATTCGAAAAATCGAGCGTGACCAGTTCCATTCACATACCATGCTTGCGACTGAACGAGTCTACAGTTTTCTCATACACACGTCCTGATATGTTCAGTCCAATATGAACCAAAAACTGAACATTTGTATGTAACTAACACTCACTAACCGGCAATAAACGAGAAGAATAACAAAATCTTTATTTTTTTTTAAATATTTGATGGTAAATTTTAACAGTACATTGTTTACCTTAATCATTACGTTTGCAATTTTAAATGTCTGATCGCGATAAACGATTATCAACTTATTATTATTATTATCAAATTTTATAGTACATATTTATTATGCTTTTCAGTTAAAATTATTATTTTCAACTGCAGCACGAAGTTCTTCACACAGACTTAAATTTTGTAACTTTTAATTTTTTTCTTTTAATAACTTGTAGTTAATTAGTAACTTCAGTATTCATATTATATGCTGCGATAAATTGTTAGATTTCATAAGCAATACCTCTGGAAATTCAAAGTTTTTGTTGATCCTAATTAATCTAATAAGCAAATATTTCATAAAACCGTGATTATATTTTGTAAACATATCTAACATAACCTAAAAGTATTTGAATATATTTTTAATATTTAAGTATTGCCATACGTAAATGTGAAATAGTATGAAGAGCGCAATTTCTTACATGTACTTTATTTATTCGGTTAGGTTCTTCAGTTATTTCCCTATCTGAAGTCGTTATATTTATTGTTTTCGGTGCAAACGTGCACGCACTATTGTTTTTTGGACTTTAAAAACTTCAAAAACTTAACTGAAGGCCATCTGCCAACGCATACTCATTCTTAGAAATGTTGTTAATTAGCCGTGTGCAACAATAAACTAGAAAACCTCTGCGTGTGATAAGATCGCACATTTTCATATAATATGTTTGGAGGTGGGTGAACGAACGCTTGTAATTTATGATGTTGAAAAATAAATTTACGTTCAGGATAATTGTATGTGTATGTATATGTGCGTTATGTACTTACATTCAAAAATCCTCAAAGGAATAAACTTCGTTTGAATAATAGATGCACGTAACATTTTGAAAAGTACGTGTTGTTCTTGTGATTAAATTTTAATTTGGATTGTTCTACTAATCTAATAAATTTCATGATAAGATCTTCTGCTTAATACATGAATTATTCGAGTATTAAATGCATTCTTCTAGACTGGTGTTGCTTTGAAATGGATCATAATATACTTAATCCCTAATTTCCTAATAAAATTGAACAATGTGTGGTAATCAATGAGCAAGCTATAACGACTGACCTTTTGTAATAGATTAAAACGTGATTAAGCAATGATAAAATAACACGGAGGTGATGGTAGTATAAAATATATTTTACTGTTTATTAATACTATTACGTAGCTTAAAAATTACCTTCTATAAATTAGTTTATTTACAGTTTAAACAATTATATGAGTATATTTGTTTTTCTGTTATAACAGGTATAAATATAAATATTTAATATTAAAATACTGCAGTAATTAAATATGACTATTCTCGATAAAAATAAAAGTAAATTTATTTAATAAATATGTAAATATTAAATATTATTTCCCCATAGATAATGAATCGTATATTTTATATATCTGTATACATATACATTTACATATATTCATATATATGTTTTTCGTTTGCACAGTAACTATACTATTCAATTAAATCGATTAATTTCGATGTAACGTTTCAAAACCTCCGTTTTCACGCACAATATAAAGTCTTGCAAATTATTTTTTGAATTTTGTATTCGTATTCTTTTGTTAAATAGATTTTTTCTTTTGATCCGTACCAACATTTTAGAAACTTCTGAAATTTAATTTACATTATTTCTAATCTTTTTACGCTGTGCTTATTGGAAATCACTTAAATAGCTTTGCCGGGATTATTTAATTATTACATGGGAAATGGAACATCTGATGTTTAAGTGTTTTTTTTAAGAATTCAATTTTCAAAAGATTTACATTTCTCAATATTTTACATTTTATTCATCCTATCTTTATACGATCCATTATACCAAAATTTAGTTGATATGAAATAAATTTAAACATTTTATAATTTTGTATACTTCATTTATTATTTCATATTTTTAGAATATACTAGTTATATATTTTAAAAAGAATATAAAGTACTAAAAATTCAAAAACATTTTTCTTTACGATAAATATGTTAATTACTATTTTTGTAATATTATTTATTGTTATTTTATTCTTATTAAACCGTCTATCTATGTTTTAAAAATTAAATAATTAAATTATTGATTTGCTATAAAAGTAATGAATGAAGAATTCCTAACCGTTGACCTACATCGATGAATATTTTGTCTGGAGCTATAAGTGTTAGAAAATACATTAAAAAATACCGGTTTGGTTTCGCTCATCATTGTGAACTGGACCTCAGCATACTACCGACAAACGAACAACTCATGGCATGTGTATAAGGGAACTTCAGGTATACAGTATAGTTTATATGTATAGAAAATGATTACAAATATTTCTATAATTAAGATCAGGGTGTTCGTATAAGGCGAGAAAGTTCAAAAAGTACATTTTGTTTTTGAACAAAAGTTCCTTAGCTAAGTTCCTTAGTTCCTTTTATATGTATATAATACTTTTCAGTAACTGTCTTTATATAATTTAAAAGTAAGATTTCACTTGAGGTTTTTAATTTTCGTTTTAACCTAACACAAAACTGTATACTCAGTATTAAATTATGGTTGCATCACAACATAATAAAATAATCGAAATATTAATGTTCCCGAAATTTTAGATGTTGTGTTGTATGCATTCATTTAGAAGTAGTTTTTATTGCATTACTGATAAATAGAACGTTGCAAAATGGGATACATAATATTACAGACCAACAATAAATCTGTATACGAGTGATTATTTTCAAAATTGTATACGATTAAAAAGTTTTTTATTCTTCGCATAACGTAGAAGTAAGAGTTCATTTTACGTATTTCCTACATGAAAAAAATATGTTTTATGGGTAGTATCATTTTCGCACACCAAAAGGATACTTACGCAGATACTTAAGGCTTTTTAGAAAACAATACATGTGACGATCAATCGGAAAAATTACAATCAAAGAATTCGACTCTTTTTTTTTTTTTTTTTTTTTTTATATTTATATACACACCATCAGCTTGTAATATTATTGTGTATACGTAAAATTATATCATATTCTACACCTCACAAGTACACGGAAATAGATTAATATTTTGTAGTTAATATTTGCCCCCGCCTGCGGCTTTAGTATAATTATACCGTGTTTTATATAAAGTATGGTGTTTTAGTTAGTACAAGATATCGCATTTACTCATCACGACGGGTGTTAGTATTTTAATATATTACGTGTATGTAACCGTTCATCGGTTTTCGCTGCTTCGCGCGTCGCCGGTGGCATTTATACCACACCTGGCAAGTAATCATCTAATAATATCGGCGGTATCTAGGATCACGCGGGGAGGAAATGTGCGCGCGCGCACTTGGACGGTGGAAAAAGAAGCTTCTTAAATACAGCTTATAGCCGTGAGAGGATTGCGTCGTATACGTGTTAAGTCTTAGAAATTACACCGCACGTACATATTATTTATATAAATTCAGGTATATAATAGTAGTAACAATAGCCGTCGGACGCTGCAACGCATTCGGTCAGACGTAACACACAGACTTTAACAATACATCTCTGCGCTATAACATACCAACGTATATGTGCGTTTTCGAATTACCTATGTACAGGGTGGCTGCGCGCACAGTGATAATATATATAGTTATATTATGATTTTTTTAATAGGACCATAATACCGGTAACGCGTTGTGTTCGTGGTCGATACCTATGTAGTAATATAATAACGTTAATGTTCACATTCTACGTGTATAACGTGTGGAGGTATTTCGTGAGCCTTTGGAAAGAGAATAATAAAAATAAATAAAGCGTTCGGCGATTCGAAAAATTCGCCCTCGACAATTCGTCACTCCTATAAAAAGAATCGACTTCCTATTGGCCATCAAAAAATTGGCCGCATGGAAACCGTGTCTAATCGTATGTACGTGTACGCGGCGCACCCCCGACCGATCGAGAAGTGGGTACGGCTATAGGTATGCGCGCGAACCAAATCACATTATTCCCAAGATTTTTATTTATTATTTTTTTTTCTTGTCATTCTTTCTAGAAAGCCGATGATCAGTTGACGTCGACGACGACCGCAAGCAGTCCGACCGGAAGAAGGCCGGTATAGTACCGGTTGTAGCACGACAGCCCACACGCGTCCCTCGCAGTAGCGCCCGGTGTGAAGGGTACGGCGAACAGCGGCTGACATGCACACGGCGCGCGCCGCATGCCGCGTGACGCAATGCCGGAGCTGTCGCCGGGCGCTTTGCTGTTGTTTGTCGTCGCCGCCGCCGCCATCCACCGTAGCCGTTGCCGCCGACGCGACGACGACGACGACGACGACGACGACGGTCATCGTTACAACGAATTCGCCGCGTCCGTCGTCGCCTGTTCGGCAGACGCCGCCGACGCCGCTGTCTTGCCACTGCGGCCCGTCGCCCCTAACCGCTGTCACCGCGTAACACGCGCCACCAATGACCGCGCTCAAGAACCACCGACGGATGGCCGGCCGACCGTTTTCCGTGAAACGCTGCGTGGCCGCGCTCATGGTGCTCGGCTTCCTGTCCATATTCTACTACACGCACTACCTGAGCTCGCCAATCGCAAGGTTAGTTTTTATATAAATACATATTTATTTATAAACACACGCGCGCAAGCGATCGTTTTATTTGTTTGGTTGTTACGATGTTTTCGTCCATGTTGACCTTTCCGGGGACGTCGACCACACTTATCTATCGCGAAATGTATAGACTGTTTAGCGCAGATTTTCACGTGTACCTACGATTTCGTAGCACCGATGAAAAACGTCGTAAAAACAATTCAAAACACGGGTCCCGTATTGACATGAGACGTCGTCAAACGTTATGTCGATGGCGTAGCGCACAAGTGTGATAAGTGACATTTTTTTTTGAAAAATCGAGTTAAGTGCATATTAAATTTAATCATAAAATTCTTCATATTATGCACAAACGAAATTATGACATTATTCAAATAATTGTCGTTCTTTATTGAAATTAGAAGAAAAATTTGATGCGTTTAAGTATTACTTTTTTCGTCTACAAAATGTGTTAAGCACAATATTTTTTTTTAAATTTTTTTTTTAAGAATACAAATGTGGCAATTGCAGATTTTTAATCCTTATTACTCATTAAATGTTAAGGAAAATGTAACAAAAAGTTCATTACAGTTCGTTACATTTTTAAATTGTTACAACAGCTCAAAATTAAAAAACGTTCTCCTGAACAATTACAAAAATGTATATTACCAATGTACAATCAATGGTGCTATAAGTAATATAAAACCAGAGGATCATTGAGGAATTTTATAATTGGTTGAGGAAAGATAAACTGATAAACTAGCATCACCCCTTGGTAGAGATTTTAAAAATTTGGTTTTAAAATACATATTTTTACTTATATAAATGGCCTCCAAATTCGACGGTCGTCATCGGCGATATCATATTCCATTCGTGCAGCAATTTCATAGATCGTACTGTTACTACTATTACTCTATTACTACCGGAGGCGTATTTACATGTTTCCCGTTTGTAGGCCTATGAAAAATAGCCACACTTGATAAGTAAAATATTAATCCAAGTTATTAAGTTACAAATTTTAAATAATAAAACATAATTTCTTGAGAGTAAACATATTTTATAAATAATTAATAACTGCATAAAATAATGAAATACATTCTTCAAACTTGGATATGATAATTATTAATAATATCGACATTTGGTTGTAGCAAAAACATTGATAGTGCATAGCAGTGGACTGCAGATATTTAGAAAGGTTCTTATTAAATAGCTCTTAATCACTGGCAATCCTGCTGCATTTCATAATATATTATGTAACATTGCAGCGCCATTGTTTAAATACTTTACTTAGTTTTTGAAATATGCTTGCTACGCCGCGCCACCATTTGTCCAACTACATTGACTAACTGTTCGTTATACTATTGCGTAATAAAAATACGTTTATGTTATATTATTATGATGAGTATTTATTTATGTTTAGTATTATGATTAGTGCTATAGATCTATTAATATAGCAAAAATAATTGAAACAACATATGTTACTGTTTTTTGATCATTAATAATTCGAATTTCCCGCAAATTTTAATAAAAATACAATAGATTATTCAATATATGGCAATTATCGTTTTATAATCAAGTACTCTAAATATTTGTATAATACTGATTAATTAATTGTTGAGAACTTTTGTTCTAAAAATGCCTAACTGCTGTTGTAAAAAAACCCAATTTTATTTCAAAAACTGTTTCTAAGATACCCCAAGATGAGGAAATGAAAACAAAGTGAGAAGAAGCTATGGGATTTTTATTTAAAAAAGTTACCATGTCTGTGTGACGAATTTCAGTGAAGACGACATTATAAATAAATGGGAGTCTGATCAAGAATTAAATAAGTTTACGATATGTTAATAATGTTTGTAATTTTCAGTTGTAAAGGAATACAATTATACTTGTTGATTATATTATAGATATGCTTGAAAAAATGTCGTCTTAAAAAATAATAATTAAAAATTAATATCTATAATCGTGAGCAAAAGTGTCGAATAAATCTTCAAAATTTAATTATTTTAATGTCATTCTCTATTGATAACAATGCCAAATTATTTAATTTTTCATCAGTTTGAGACAATCTTAGATAGTCAAATAAAATATTAGCCAAATGGCTAAATCATACCACGTAGATTAACTGAATTAGTCACACAGTACTACTGATTAATTCGGTAGGAATAAGTCACTTCTACTCATTGTAGTAAAGTATAGGGGTAGTAGATATTCGTAATATTGTTATCATTCATGGATATTCATGTGAAAAGCCGCTTAGGAAACCAATATCAATACTTATTCATATTGATATATACAACGACAACAAAAGAGATCTTATTTCGATAACACAGAATAAAGTTTTCCTGTCCACAAATAATCATAGACTCGTCCACACCCGTTAGAATCCCTACTGACCATATCCTTATCCTAAATAATTGCCTATAAATACGATGTCTATTTGCCCAGATAATAGAATAGATTTACTCCCACTTATTGCCTCGACGCTTATCTGGTCTGGAAGTCCGCGGGCTTCACATCATCACCAGCTCTAAGAGTCAATATTTAATATTCTCTGGCAAAGCTTACATACTCTGTCCTCAAGTATTCTATTACTATTTTATTTGCATTAATTATATATTTATTCATTATTATAATTATTGGCTTGACATTAAACCACAGTGTTTTGTTACTAAAAATCATCTTCCAATATCATCACAACATCACAGATGTGAACCGTTCAAGTTAGGTAGTACTCTCGGAGGCCGGCGTGCTACACTGTCACTAATAGCATTGATTTTATAATATAAAATATAAAATAAAATAAAATATTATAAAATCAATGCTAGTAGTCACTACTGAAATAAGTAGAAGAAGCTTTATTTAAAAAAAAACCAGTTAATTTGTGTTTGATTGATAACATTTTGCAAAGTATCTCTGTTTAGAAAAAAAAAAAAAATATAGTAAAAATAATCAATAAATAACGATAAGTTAGTAAATAAAATAAACAAAAACGATTTACGTACAAAAAATTTACTCGCTGCAACGTGAACAGAGGTTGAATTCAGAATAATTGTTTATTGCTAGTTATTTTATTTATTAAAATCATGAATAATGATTTCCTTCATAAACATTCCCAAATCTTATAAATGTATACAGTGAGACGGAGATAAAAAATTATGAAAATATATATCTTGTTAATTGTTGGTGGGAAAAGCTATTGTCTACTATTTTTTCATATAAGAGTATATGTAACGTATTTTACAAAATCGGAAAACCCTAAGAACGTATATAAATATAATTATACGTAAACCTTAAAAAATGTACCACCCCTCAAAATTTGCCACTGGAGACACGTGCCTATAGTGCCTGCATATAAATACACCACTGATTACTACTAGTTTTATACATATATGAACAGTAAATCAAATTTTTACTTGAACCTCTATGGTACATGTACATGTGTTTTAAAGTCAGGGTTGTACGACGAGCGAGCGCACGTCATCCTATATCCTTGGCGTACGAACGGTTTCGCCTCACGTCGGTTTTTATTACAATAATAACACGTTTGTAAAGTAAACGGTTTTCCCCTCTGGCCGGCCGTAACGCGTGTGGTCGAATTCCCTACATTATAGTTTGTATATTGTATTATATATTGTTTTTTAAACGCACCGACGTATGTGCGGACCGAACCCGCAACGTGGAAGTTGTTTACAACTCTCGGTGGTGAGTAAAAAATGAAGGGATAAAAACCAAGACTTACAAAAATATCTATTGATATCTTTACGCGTGTAACAAAGTAATAATACTATTAATAAAATAAATTACACACGCACATGTATACGATTTCGGTGTACAACACGTTTGTATAATGTACGGCACGTCGTTAATATACTGCAAGTATCAATCGTTGTGTTTACATAAACGCAACTTCATCGCTAATAGTTTTCTTCCCTCGTGTTTAACATTCATATTCAAATAGAATACGCAAACGGGCGCGTTTCTGCTTTGTGTTGGGGTTTTCTCGTGCGTCGAGTGCGCGACGTTCGCGTGCGTGCACGTGTGCATTTCACTGCTGCTGCACTTTCTCCGCTGGTATTTGTATTTTGCTACCATCGCGTTTTTTGCAATCGAGCGAAGGTGAAAATTCTCCTCTCAAATTGTACTCGCACGCACACGCAAACTGACCTAAGTACACTGTTTTTCCGCGAAAATATTTAGACATCTACGAAATAAATAATTTTACGCGTCCCCGTAACCGTTTACGAAAACATTGCCGTCTTAATATTATGCGAACAATTAACGTGTAACACATTAAATTTAGGCGCATTTTCACGAAACAACAACAATCAATCATTTTTTTTTTTTTACGGTTGAAACCGTTTCGCGTGCATTCATTCACCGACCGGTGTCTATTTGTAGTTCGTTGGTGAGAGGAAATTAATCAACGCACACGATTAAAGTCCGAACCGGCTCTATATTACCATTGATAAAATGATGCTACTCACGATGTACGTATTTTGAACATAAAAAACTATGTTCGCAGTCGGTAGGATTCGAACCTACGCTCCCAGAGGGAATCTGATTTCTAGTCAGACGCCTTAACCGCTCGGCCACGACTGCTCGTTGATATATATTTGCTAAACCATGTGTATTTAACGCTTGTGTACCGTTCCATTACAATTTGTTTACATGTTATATTTTATTTATTTAATTCCCTTTTCGCCTACAAAGAAATCGATACGTATTATATTTGTAACATAGCCGAATCGATTCGTTAGCGGTAAAGGACACGATATCAATCGGGTTGTAAATATTATGATATGTATGTATCGCGTTCCCTAATCTAATTACATTTATATATGTAACCATATTTTAATCAGTGTTATTTCAAATAATATGATATTCATGATAAATTTTAATTATGCATTGTTGCTACTGAGTAATGATTAATACATACATTAACATTATCACGAATGTATGAATTAATAACATTCGATCGCAATCATTAACTTCACAACACGAATTAAGTTTTT